ATATTTTTGTATCGACTCAATGTATTTAGGATAGAGGCAGCCACGGTTACGCTGATGGTTCTGATGACAGGTCATAAGTGGCAAGAGGCCAACTGAAATGGGGATTTTGGGAATAACTTTGACGATGGTCCACACAAGGCTAAAAAAGCTTCGCAGTACTCCTTGGCTTCATGATACACATTGGCTCACTGGCGGAACGAAATGCAGAGATTAAACAATCTAAATTCCTCTCAGTACAAACTGTACCTTTGCATGATTGACGTCAATCGGTCCGTTTGAAGCAACGGTCTGATCTCCCAGCCACACCTGGAAGGATGCATAGAGCAAGAACTAGTTAGAGTCTATGGAAAACAATGATTCGCTGCTTACATTGTACTGTGACAGAGTTTAATTCAGCCAAACATATCAATGCCAGAACTCAGTCTGATCATGATGTCGTTGTAAAACTGATCTCAAAGTTGTTCAGATCTCTAAGTTGCTCACTGAAAGTAGACATAAAGAAGCCAACCATTTTGGCTTCACTCATGTAGCAAAAGCTTCCGGAGTGAGGTGCACGAACTGAAAGGTCAGTTTGCTTAGTTGATCTGAAGGAAGCAAGGGGTCAATCTTATTTCGTCCTCTACAAAGAAGAAAGTCCTCCGAATATACCGAGTTGGTCTAAACAGGTGAATGTTCATTTTGTTGACGGGAAAAATATCCTATCTGGGATACTTTTCCCTTGAAAATTCAAAACGGGAAGGGCCACTTGATAAGTTGGGGTGAACATACAGAAGGGAACAGGGTCGTGCCTGTTTGTGAAATCTGAGGCTGCTTAGACGACTCCTTCTCAATCAACTTGATGTGCTGCTCCAGAAAATGTTTTCAGCACCAGTTCTCCTTACGAAGGAGATGCATGGCTGGAAAGACGACGGCGGTACAACGACTGTACAAGAATGAGAGTCGGTCCTCTTACTGGAAGATAATTTCTAGGTGGTCAATATGCCAACTATACTGAATCAGAAAATCGAATCTTTTCCAGATAAGTCCAGCCACATTTTTCCAGCTCCCATTTAATGTACGCACACAACCTTGATCTATTTTTGATGAAAACTGTTCCTTATCCGCATCTAGGCTCATTTTATGCAAAAATTTCTCCGTTCGGACGTAAAACCTTAAATGAACTTTCTGACGCTTTCGACTCTCGTTCATGACAAGGAGAAGGCAATACGTTTTTTGCAATGCCTACGTTATTTCAAAGCCACAGAGTGATCCATCCTCAACGTTTATGCGGCAACGGCCAGCAAATGACACTTTCAACAGTTTCTGACAGGTGGAGGTGTAATGCCCGGCAGTGTCGGGAAGAAATCGGTCTTCGAAAGGGAACTTGTCTGGAGCGGTCTACGATGGAGTTCAGGATAGTAATTCTTTTCACTTATTTCTGGTCCCAAAATTTGGTAAAAACCAAATTCCGCTCAGAGGAATTATTTATAAGCCACATGACCACTGTTAAATGGAAGAACTTTCTTCGCGAAGTTTGCGCCTGGCGGCTTTTTGCGACTCCAAAGTTCGTTTAATCGTACCGGAATCTTTGTGGATCCAACGACTGGAGCTCACACAAACCATCGAATCTCTTTGGCACATCTACAAGATGTCACATATACAGTTACTTGTGTGAGCTCGTTTGGAGGCAAAGGTACTGAAAAACGGACCTTTTCGTGCAGATCACTAATGACATGTCCCAATCTCACCCCCTCCAATAAAAACCAGAAGTACAAATTTCATATCCTCTCTTTTCTGGTCCTTTTTGGGTGGCCGGGGTTAATTTTTTGGCGGGGCTTATCTGGAAAAGATCCAGGACATCAATGTTCAGCATTGCACTTGATGGAGAAATCTGACAAGACCCCCCCCCGCCGAATCGCAAACTCTGAATAACAAATGAAAAAGCGCACATTTCATATTGGCTCATCTCATGCTGATCATTTCTGGGCAATTCGAGCTACTGGCGATGCCCATTTACCTTGTGAAGCCAGTTTACGTTATTCGAAAAATTCTATGCTCTCCACAGGTGAAATATCAAGGCATTTGCTTGCTGTTTCATAACCAGGCGTTCGCCATTAAGTCCTAAAGGAAACTAGTTTAGATTCATCCGCTACAAACCCGCACTACTTACACGCTGGATTAAAGTGGCTACTTTTTGTAGAAATCCATAAGTATTCTACAGAGTTCTTGCAGAAGGCTCAGAAGAAAAACATAGCTAATTAAATCGAAGGGGAAAAATAACTTAATTGAGTGCTAGTCAGAAGACACGACATTAAAACTCGCACCTTTTGGTGTAAAAGCGGTTCACAGCTGTGTTAATGGATGCTGGCTGATTCAAAGCTGATGCCCTTTGTATCTCATCCACATCTGACCAGTATGTGTGTCACACCTTGTGTACCTGACCTTTCGTTTCGCGTGAAAAATGGGAAGAGAAAATGTTTTCCTTAGAGCGTGTTAGGGGATAAAACGATTACATGGAACGTAATTAACTCCACACATTGTGCATCTCCTCACGCATCCAGACTGAGGCGAGTATGTATGGTCCACGATACCGATTTAGCGAATCGATTCATATGCAAGTGATGCTTTTTCCTCATTTTCTTTAGCTTGAAACCGTCATAAAAACATGAACAAGTTACTGGCTTCAGAAATCAAATCAACGCGCGAAACTGAAGGTACTTTTATTATCTAAGTAAGTGTTGAAGTGCGTTTGGAAAACAGGTCTAGGAGAAAGTCAACCGAAATTTTGTTTAAACGCAATGAAACCAAATCATACTTTAAAACACTTTGTGGCAATTTGAATAAAGACCACCGGAGAATGATTGAATGGCTAAAAAGGATTTTTCCTTGACCAAATCGTCTGTCCTGCCGGATGATTGATTCATTCGGTTTGTTTTTCCGGAAACACTTTCAGCCTAGATTCTTGATTTTCAAACGAAATGATGAATTTTGTTTTCAAACCAACGTATCGCCAAATTAAAGTGTGAACAAAGGGTTCCACATCTCGGAAATACAAAAACCAACACTACTCATATGATGTGATTACCATCTATCAGGAAGGTCAGACTCCTGAATATAATCACAGAATGTCCAAAACCTATTGAGACCCTCATATCATACCGAAAGCGCATTGAGAAACCCTTCCAGCATCTGCGCCGTAAAAGCCGGAAGCCGATTGCATGCTGGAGCGGTCAATCAGTTCCTCCAACGCCGACCGGACAGCCTGAACTCAAGGTAAGAGATGCGCTTTAAAAACCGCGATGTTGGATGTACCTTGTACACTCGCTCACAGCCGTCGGGTGCCTTGTGGTCGAGTCTGACACTGGAGTGGGGACAGAAGTTAGTTACGAGGCCATCATGTGCCCATGTTGGAAGCGAGTATCCAAGTCGAATGTTTTTCGCTTGCTCTTGACATGTCACTGTAGTCACCCTTTCGCCGCATACATGACTGTACGGATCACCGCCACTAGCTAGATCACGAGATGTGTTTTTTCTTACACTCACAAATCATGCCACACACTTGTGAATCACATGACTACACAGCTCACAGTCAAGCCCTAGATCCCAAGACTCGCCTTCTTCCCCTACACGCACAAATCAGGCCGCACAAAGCTGACTCATCTGATAGACCGTCTACCGTCTGATAAGGTAGCAACAAGTCACGTGCCGGCACCCACACACAGACAAACGTTCCTAAATATAGGATGACAGCACAGCAACACAATACAGCTCAACAGAGCTACGCACGTCGCCCAACTCGGAGCAGAGCCGCTCAGGACCTACGGCGCTTCACTCACGGATAGTCAGGGAATACGTGTGGCTGCTACAACAGCGAAGAAGACACGAAACCTGCATCCGGACTTGCAACAGGATTTATCAACTCGTATCTGCAATACGGTAATTCCCTTGTTCTCATATATAGCTATTGTAATAATTTTACTCAACATTGTTAGTGCTCCCCGTTTTCTCGTCCATATAACTAATTTTCGGGCTCCAGTAGAGCATTAACATCATGCGACACATTAGCAATTGGAGGAAACTACTGGACAAAGGCATTCTAACAGCGAGCTTTTCGCGTTGGTTCAGTCACATCAGTTGGCCTTAGACACAGAGTCTTAAAACTATTGCAAAAGTAACCAAGAGTTGATAGGCTAAAGTTAAAATACGCATCAACGATTCAACAATGAAGAACCCTCTAATACAATACTGATATTTTGGAACACAGAGTGGGCGTGAATCGCCTGGAGGTTCCGTTGCAAAATGTGCAACAAATGACCTTTCGTTTTGGATTTAAATGCCCTGGAGCCAGTCAAATCCATCTGTAAATCCTGTAACAGTTTGTTGTATCGTGGGTGGCCGTCTATGGGTTACGCCTGCACTGAGCCTGCCAGCCCACGCGATAGGGAGATGACAGAGAACTCGCGACACGGCTGTATTGTCAGGACAAAACATACAGAGCGTCTGCGTAAATATATAGGATGACCAAATGGCCAAATATGGTCGTTCACTTGTTCGTTCCGTACAGCCAATTGCGGTGTTCCGGTCGTGAACAATCTCAGGCCCTGTACGCGGGTCGTATGTTGCTAAGCCATGTTTGGTGACCTCCGCCAACGCACCTGCTTTTCGAAAGGTCTCATACCGATGGTGAACTGACACAGTTTCTTCCGATAAACTATTTAAGTATCTTTTGGCGAACCCCAAATGTTACGCAAGTGTCCAGTACTATCTGAATAAAAAGTGAATAGATTATAAAGTATCTTTCTTTCGAAAGGTCGAAGTAGTCCGTGGATTACATTTTATATATCAGTTTTGTATCAGTTTTGTATCAGTTTTGTATGGAGCAGAACGCGCCTTTCTGTGTCTCGATCCAAACCAACAACACATAGATTTAGGCCTAAAAATGATGATCAACCATCGCACTATAAAAATAGCGACATCAAAATCAGATGAGTAGTTAGCCAGTGGGTAACTAGTCAACTTACATGGGGATTCTCGAACATGCCGTACATATCTTCTCTCTCCTCAAAAAATATAAGATTTTCGCTGTCCAATTGCCAGTTCACGAGACAGTCCATCACTGGTTCGCTGTCTTCGAAACAGCGCTCTGCAAATAGTGTTGTAAATTCACATGAAGTTAGTTTAAGTGTGATAGTAAAAAGAGCTTCGAACTACCAATCGTTATATTTCTCCAGACGGATAAGAAAGCGCTGTGGTGGGGAGTTCGTCCTGTAAGTGAGGCCAATCTCTGCTGAAAAGCTAAGAAGTATACTGTAAAGTTGTTTTATTCTTATTGGGTTCTCATCTAATGAAACTCCAGAGAGCCTCAAAACCGCAACCTGTCGGCTGCAAGCTTAAAGTTTTGACCATTCGGCCACAAGTGACTGATGAGCAGTGTGATTTTAAATGCAATTAAACAGAATTTAGCGCTGCTCATCCTTCAACCACAGGATCCACATCACGTGGCCTTGATCAGCGGTTTCTCAGACGGAAGCTCCACTCATCAAGTGAATTTTATTCTTCCTCTGAGCTACTTATAGGTTGTTAGCAGTATAAGGAGATTTGGAAATTTCGGTCGAGATTTCGTCAGTAAGCGAAGTCAATCTATGCTGAATTGCCGAGAAGCACTATAAGGCTGTTTCATTCATATTGGGAGTCATGAGTTCATGTGCAACCTAATCACACTGCCGAACATTTGCTCTTGGCCAAACGGTTGAGAGGTCAACCTTTTAGCCGGAAGTTCGCGGTTTTGAGACTCTGTAGAGTTTCGTGAGATGTGCACTGCTGATAATTCCAAATAAGAACGAAGAAGCCGTACAGTGCTTCTCGGCCATACAACATAGGGCGGCTTCACTTGAGGGGCGAAATCCCCACCAAAATTCAAAAATTCAAAATATTTTCACACTGCCAACAAGAAGACAAATTTTGAAATGCAACAGCTCCGGTAAAGTTCGAGAAATACATTCCTTTGGAAATCAGTTGGGTTTCCGCCAGAGACTCGACTGAATCTCTCGTTTGTGATATTCTTCACAGGCCGCCTCATGTTTCAGTTGGCATGATATTCGAAATATCGCAGTTAATTTCGCAAATTCTGTGCAATTTTGGTTCTGGTAGAACATAAGGTTGACCGAAGCTCGGGGACTGCGCCTACTTGATGAGCCCCAAGAAGGGCGAAAACCGGTCGTGGGTTGTCAAAGAGTTTTCAGCAACCTTGTGAGTAGTTTCTTTTATGAAAACTTTATTTAATATTTTAGGGATTTAATGTTTAGGCAGCCGTTTCTACCAACGTGTTTCAGGTTTCAGAGCCCACGGTCTCTCTTTGAATCAGTCTTTTTGAAGAAACCTTGAGGGCAACCGGAAGTGCTTCGTCTTTTTTGATAACCATTTGGTGCACGATGCCCTTGAGTGATCTGCCTTGGGCTACTTTATTGCTTACCTAGTTGCCGACCTCATTGTTCAGGTCTCGACCTAGGGTAGCGAGCGCACTACTCATAAACGAACGGATCGATTAATACTACAAGAACCGTTAAATCTGCCGCCCGAATACGACCAAATCAGCTCAAATCTGACCACAAAAACACTTTTTCCAATGAGCTGAAGATGTTATGCGGATTATGTGAGGATTCATTTGTTGAAGACTAACAAAAATTAATGGTTCATTTGCACCAGTTTTGAATGAAGTGTTCCGTACCCGTGATTGAATACCAAAAAGTTCACTGGTTTTTGTTTTGTTCCAAGGAGGTTCCGGGTGGAATTTGGGCATTCAGGACTGATAATCTCCTAATGTTATCAAGTAGGTTGAGCGTCATGTGGGTGTTATACAGAAAAGCTGTTGTCCGATAGTTAAAATAAAGTGTTCTAATTCGGACGATTCGGTTACCGCTGATAACTTTTATCAGGGATTTGTACAATCAAACTGGAGAGAATCAGTATGATGCCTGGTTGGCAAATGAATCACCTGAATTGTAACGTTCAGTGTGGTGGCCTATGCGCTTGATGTGTTTGCTGAGTTGTGTGTGTGTGTGTGTATGCGTCCACGTGTCACTTCTATCAGACCAGGCGAGCTGAGGTAATATCAGTGAGATTGTATGCATGTGGCCAGGAATGGTCGTTGCACGCTGTCTACGCGCCTGATCAGCAGTAAGGTCAGCCCTTCCCTGATGGATAAATGATTGATACCACCGCTCCAGTTAACGCAGGTTGGGTGGGTGTGTATTCCGATTATCTTGATGGGAACATCGTACGAAGGAGAAAACTCAAATGCCTTTGGAATAGTTAAAAAGACATCGAGACCGAAGATTTTACTCAATTGGACAATATACTTCAACGGCAACTTTTTCAGCAACCAACTAGTGTCACCTATTATCAGGAAGGTCAGCTTCCTGAACTCCCGGAAACTACGGCGACTCTCAGCTCCGCTGGGTGTTGACCAGACAGACAACGCCCCCTCAATATGCAGCGCGTCACAGCCTTGCATCAAACCCAGGCAGCGCGAGTCTGCGTTGATCAAGGACAGACAACGCCTCTGCAATATGCAGCACTTCGCTGCCTCGTACCAAAACCAGACCGCGTGCGTCAGCATTGGACCAAGTTCAGACAGTGTCCTTCCAATAAAAAGCTTGAGGCCGTTGTACATTTCGCACTCGCGCTCTCGCAACCACTTTTTTTGGGATATAGCTATTGTGTTCCCTTCCGTGAGCCTTTTTCTCTCCGACACTGGGCACTGGAGCGGGTCAGCAGCAGATACCACAGACCGGCGAATCACTATTAAGTACACAGTATATTGGGAAAACATCCAGAACACTCTTGGTGAGCATCGCTGAACACACGCGCTACAAACGATTTCTTCCGTGCGAGGAACCAAGATGAAAAAAAACTAGAAGCGGGCTTGGTGTCTAATTTTTGGGCTTCGACGGAGAAGCAAACAATAGACTGTGAACATGACCACAACCTTCCCTTTGGTTTGACGGACGGATACACGCAGAGGCGTTTGAGGTCACTAACCACCCAACCTGTGCTAATCGCATCAGTCTCTCATCCGTCTGGGGAGAGCCGACCTCCCAGCTGAAAGCAGACTGCACGCAACGACCTAAGCTTTATCAGTCCCACCCAAAAGCATAGCTTCAGGAACATTGCCTCGGTTTTCAGAGTCCGGCAAACATGACGCATGCAAGCGCATACACAAATATCCACTACGACACCTCAAACACAGATGCACCAAAATATCATCGTGTTTTATTGCTTTTCTGCGCTTCCAAGATAACGTAGAAAATGCGTATGCTAAAAGGAAGAAGAGAATGACACACACCTATTCAAATTTAACTCATTGGTTTACACCAGCATTTATGAGTTTGATGAATCTTGGAAAGTTAGTACTAATCTGCTGCTCAACCCACATGGCAAAGACAGGGTTACCGTGGGTACGTGGGACGGTCACGTGCGACAAGGACGTATGTTGAAAACCAACCAATATCTGTTTAACTAAGATGTGAAAAGACCTAGGATATCGAAACATTGTTTCGTCCATTCAAACTCACCATGCTGTTGAAGCCACAAAGAAGGAGATAGTATTTGTTATAAAGTCATACCGATGACACTACCCTTTTTCCTCAATAAGCCAGATTGCGCTTTAAGATTGCACTTTGAACTGAAATGCTTACGCAAATTCTGCATACAACATAAGCCCACTTTCCTTTTAAGTCGATAAAGACGATACCATTGTCGGTAGGACTTGTTCGAAATGATTTTTGTCAATAACTGGCTTACCCAATAAAGAAACAATGCTACAAAGATTTCATTAAGTCACCTCGACATGTTGAAGATCATCGGCGCTTCAAAATAGCAGGACCTTGTACCGGGACGAACGAAGTTGACTGACACTCATCCGTCACATTTCTAAACACTAAGTTGTTTCTTGTTCAAAGCCTGATAAAACCTCAGCTAATGGTGGATTCAGAATGGAATCGTGAAGCTATTCAAGTTTTTTTCATTCCCCTCACTCTTGTTGGAGAGTTTGTCCTGTCAGGGGAAACGATCCTTACTAAAAAGCTGGGAAGTATTGTACAGCTGTTTTATCCTCATTGCGAATCATCAACAGTGTGCTTTTCAAGAAATTATGAAAAGTCTCGAACCCATGACCTCACGGCTGGTAGGTGGAACAATTAAGCGTTCTGTCGCAGACTGAGTAGCAGTGTGTTTAAGTCACACTTTAACCACATCGTTTACTCACAGAATCCACATCACGTGGTCACATGATCGCTAGCCTCCTCGTGTGAGTATTTTTCAGCCAGAGGCATCGCTCATCCAGGGAGGTTTTTATTCTTTCTCTGAGCTGCTTGTAGAATGTTGGTATTATTGAGTGCGTTGAGAATTTTATTTAAGATTTCGTCCTGTAAGTTAAACCAGTCCACACTGAAAAACGTGTGTATCCGAAACGGTTCTAATTGTTGAAGTGGATCCATAACTCGTGGAAATTTTGTTGAGAGATCTCCGTTATGACTAATTTCAACGAGAAAACGGCCATCTGGTTTTGAGGTAAGTTTTGGACCATTCATACCACAAGACACGCAGGTGTTACTTTTGTACGGTGATTTCAAAACAAGTTTGAAAGTCTGTTGGGTTGGACTCCATCCATTGACGCTAGTTTTTTTGGTGCAATCTTACGCATGAAGGGTACCACGGGCAATGGTGAAATTGTGTACATGGTTTGGGTTTAGTTTAGGATGGAAACTCTCGAAGTGCTTGCTATGTTAGCGAAATACACTCATTTTCAAACAAATCTGGTTTTGCGGGAGACTCAACTGGAACCCAGCTGAATCTTTCGTTGGTGATGTTTCTAAGCCACTGAGTGTGTTGCACCAGGCCGCCTCGTTTTTCAGTTGGTACAATATTCGAGATATCGCGATACACGTATAGACGTAATACGCTACTCTTAAGGTTGGTGAAAATTCCTCGACAGCCCACGACCAGTTTTGCCCTTCTTGGGTTTCATCAGGTAGGCGCGGTCCCCGAGTTTCCGTCAACCTTACGTCCCACTTGAATTAAAATATGAGGAAACCTGGTGCAGCATGTTCACTTACCTGTAGACTTCACAAACGATAGATTCAGCTGGGTTCCAGGTGAGTCTCTCGCAAAACTAAATGAATGCAGTTCGCTTATGTTATGGGCAATTCTCAAAGAGACGGTGCTTTTCTAGATAGTGTACACGCAAACCACCTTCTTGTTAGTCATAAGTTGATGTCCATTCTAAAAGTGGGACAGAGTATCTGACTCCATACTAATGCTTCTTTTTCATAGAGGATAACTATATCGAACGAAGAAAACAATTTATACGATGACAATGGAGTGAAGTGACACATGTGGCTGACGTGACAAGGTACCTTGTTTGGGGAACGGATAAAGGTAGTCGAGATGAAAAACGCTGAAATTTTCGCATGCAGCGCACACGGACGGAGGACCTATAAGTTTGACTTTGTAATAACTGACCTTAGGGCAAGGCTAGATTTTATTTAGTACATTCGGTAAAAAGTAACTAACATGTCAGCGGTGTGCTGGGCCCAAAATAAATCCTAACCTGTTACACAGTACCTGACATTAATCTCAGCTCTTAATTTTATTCGTAAAAAATACCACAAGGTAAGTTATTTCAATACTGCGTTGCTATCTTTTGGATGAAATACAACCAGTACGCAGCTGAGGACACACCAATACCATTCAGTAATTTTATCGAGGGATACTTTGATGTTTGAAGCACTTCAACTGGACGATTTCCCACCTAATCTACATGACGTATACGTTTTCATTGCTTGACGCGGTTCACCAACATGCGGGAGATGTGGGAGTACACACTGAGAATAATGTGTGCGTGTGGCAGTCTGGAATTCTGGTTATCCACACTCGATCGTGAATCTGACATTTTACGTCGAACCGACTATCGGATAGTTCATGGATCTTTACCCCTAATTCTTCTTGTATTTGACGCCGCCCACGCTAACCTGCTACTGATGTGTTTGGGGCTAAAGAACATCAGACAAGTAGCATCTCTAAAACATCCTGCGTCGGACACTGAATGAAATAAGGATCGGTCGAATCGAGCAATATTGAGGCAAACGTTCCAGACGAAATAACCTTTAAGTCCGCAATGTGTACTGGCAAACGCAAATAGCTTTCATACCATATAGGGGGCGTTCTTGACGTAATCCCTTAACCGGTTTTCGCCTGAGAGGGAGTACATTGTTATACATCAGCGACTCTAGACCTCCCAAGTCCCGTTCACCCAGTTCAGCACTTGAATAACGATCTTTCCCACATTAGTGCTCTTCTAACTAAAAACACCCAACTCATTATGAAAAAGCGACAGACACTCATTTACACGCCAAGTGAATCACAGCTGAACCCCTCATTTCTGGTGATTTTCTCCGACTAAGTGTACTGTACCAAGGCGACCTCATGTTTCACTTGGTAGGCAGTGTATGCCTTTGAATGATACTACTCATAAGGTTGCTGAAAATTTTGACAGTCTTCTTCGGGCTCATTAGCCATGTGCATGCTCCAAGTTTCCATCAGCCTCGTGCTCTAGTTGAACTCAAGTTGTATGCAAGTTATCAAACGCACGCATTAGCACACCAAGTTGTTTTCCGTTGCAAAGCCGATAAGATCTACATCACTCGCCTCAAAACTCGATATGAAACTAACTTGCAATTAATTTTTCAGAAAACAGGGCTCGCGACTTCTTCGCAGTGTCTTTCAGAAAACCGTGAGTGTCGGCTGAGAGCCAGTATTGCGGGTAGTTTCGCTGTCACACTCCCCTGCTGATTTCACTGGCCGTGCTCATCAGAATTCATCCAAGCAGACAACCGAACTCCTTGACGAATCGGATCCCACATGATTTCAAGGAGAAACTCAACATTGCACTACACGGATGTGCTTTACGTTCTCTTAGGTTTATCTTTCAATAAATGTAGCCAGTCTGGATTGGTTCATAATGAACACATATATACATATGCAGTTGCACGCATTTCCAATAACGAAGTCGTGGTGTTCAAACAAGTTAGGGGTAATTAACATTTTATTATTGTCCAAGAAGATGGGTATACACTTTACGGTTGTCACAAAAATCCTTGACTATTAGCAACCAAAACGGGGAGTGCAAAACTCTCCGCATATGTTTGGAAAATACATCGTTTCATACTCCTAATTTACACGAACTGGTCCCGATTAGGAGTACAAAGATGCGACACAGACAGACGTGTACAAAATTTCAGCTTGGGATTGTGTCTTCTCTAGGTTCAAGATGAACTGTGTCCAGGACCCGAATGTATAAACTTGTCAGAATTCAGGGAATGTCTTGAAATACTGAATTCGACAGAACCCAACCACTAAAAGGACTGGATACTGTGTGAATAAAATCGGCTTGTATGAATATACATGAGCCTCAACAAATCTTCACGTGATTAGTTAACCCCGTTAACGTCACTACAGGGTACAAAACACAGTTGGAATTAATTGTTTAAGGAGATCCCCAAGCAATTGAGTGAATCACCAAAACTCTGCCATCAAGGATGTTGGCGAGGTGACTTACTTCTGATACCCCAGTTTGCCTTCAGACTATAGCAAAACGATGAATTAGGACGCCAGGCCACCCGAGCGGTTACCACTGCGAAAAAGTTAGTCGACGTCACGGATAGGCTTTGGAGGCAGCTTTTCTCTTAAGGCGAGGATATATTTTTCTAAGGAGATTTTACGGGACAAGTAACAGTGTCACAAACAACGGCCTTCAGTAATTGTTTAAAACGTGAAGCGGGTTTGAATTGAATGATTTCGCTTTTTGCCCATCTGACATACCCAACTTCAAAGACGGTATTTTCTCAACAAGCGCGTGTTTTCGGGAGCATCTCATCATGTTCTTCTCCAGAAGGGTTTTCAAAACGTCAAAGGCTGTCATGTCTTCTTCGATTGCGACAGCTTTTGTCGTTCTGTCTGGATGATAAACCCGAAGAATTAGCTGGGAAGGAGACAGCAAAAACAGAAGTGTTTGGTAAACCAGGTCAAAAGAAACAGGCAATCAACAGATTCCATAAAATTTGTCATACCCTGGAAGGATCACCTCTGGTTTTCAAAATCTATCTTGTACAAACTGAAACTAACTGAACCAGCCATGAACAGAGGCATTCATGGAACTGAGATTTTGGGGATTCAACCACATCCTTGCCAAATACTCGGTCAAACCCAAGCTCATGGCTTAACAATGATAAGAATTTATACAAGGATCGGTGTCTAACCCGGTAAAATATCTCTACTATCTAGCATAGTCATCTGCCTGTCTGTGTACTTTAGCAGCTGGCTGAAACCAATCATTGTACCTCAAGTTTTGACCTTCAAAAGCTGCTTGCTTGTTGGCTTTCAGTTGGATCTGTGCACTGGCCGTCACATGACTTCAGAATCCCATTCCCTTAAAATACGCATTAGGAAAGTGCGCTCACATAATAAATATAGTAATGTATCTTAAAGTAAAATGTTCATTTTCACACAGAAGCTTTAGGTTTTCCTTTTCATTCATGTCCTATGCACTTAGAAACCATATTTAAAGATACTTAGATAACTTCAATCATCTCTTTGTGGACAGTTCACGTGGAATGGGGCCAGACTAGAGTTCTGAAATTTCCCCCGAGATAACACTGACTCCCTTCTGTGGGCGAGCCACTAATTGGTTATACCAAGTAGGGCTGCTTCACCGACACTAAGTTTGGCAAAATGTCATATCCAATGAACAGAAAAGCAGCCATTGGCACAACCGTGGCTATCAGCATTTCAATCAATAACAGCGTGGAACGCTAGTTGTCTGCTGCTTGCTGCTGCTAGAACGTTTGTAAGACGATAACAGGCGTCCAGCTAAACAGTGCGAATACATCAGAACGCTGGACTAGAGATGATGCATCACTTTGTAAAAGTTTCGCTAGTGAATCGTATCCCGGATCCAGGTTCTTTTAACACCGAAAATCACCGGCCTCCGACAGGTATGTGATGCCAGCAAGCAGCCAGGAATGGTAAACAAGGCGAGCGTGTATGTACGCATGTATTACGCAAACATCATTGACACATGAGCTGGGGTTGTTGTGCCCAGTGTAATACAGTGGTTTCCCGGAGGCTAGGGGTGAACGGGTAAACTCACCTAAGAGGAAAGGAAGATTCGGCCATTGCTGCCTGTACAACATTCTCTAGGAACAGGGGCGAGTACTCCCGCACGGACGGTTGCAATTATCCTTTGCCTCTGTCATGGTCGGTGAGATTTTTGAACCTATCGCTTCCATTTCCTTAGGTGCACTCGAAAGCGTCATCAAGTCAGAGCCTGAGCTACATGTGCCCAAGCCCTTTGAGATCTGATTACGTTCCCCCACAGATATTTATCGTCGTGTACTCACCAACTTCTTTTGAGTTCAACAAGTCACCTACCAGGGTGTTTTGCTTTAGTCAACAAGCAGTCAAGCAGTCCACCTTTTGCACCATTCCACTTCTTACGTAATCGAATTACTACTTTTATTATCCCTTGTCATTTATGGGTAGTTTTCTGGTTGAAGCCTCCACCCCCGACCAAAACATGGCATAAGAACGTAGTCAGGGTTATCAGAGTTGCCATTCTCCTGTATTTATATGGCACCAGGTGGTTACAATTCGTTAGGCACAAAAACATTCTTCACTATTATATAAAATATTAGTATACTTCGACAATCACAAGAGCTTACATAAGTTTCGGCAATTAGTGAGCTTCGGTGCTTATGCGACTCCGGCATAGATTGCAAGTGGAATGGAAGCGGCCACTTAGAAGTGTAACAAAAACCTGACAGCTCCAGGTTCGGCAGGAAGTAACCACCTGACCGCCAAAAGCGGCATCCAGCCTTACACACATTTCGTTACCATAATACAACTGTGATTGTAGTTGGGGCAGGCTGGCCCACAACAGCGCGTAATGCATTTGTTTGGTTTGAAATGCTTGATGTCAAGCATTAAAAAATCACAAGGAAGAAATCAGGAAAGCCAAAACACCACACTGCACGTAAGATAGGCAGAGATGATAAATCCCCGGTTCCTTCAATTCTACAGTTTCATCACGTTGTCTTCGAACACTAGCCCGCGACTTGAGCTGGATTTTTTAAAACCCAGTTCTTCTTTCGAAGTACACAACTGTAGCTCCTAATACGACTGAGGGTGGACAGTACCGCAGTGTTTATTTTTGTTAGGATCACAAAAAACAGGAATGTGCCTCGAACGTCTGGATTGCAGGTCCTTTGAAGTCGGTGAGTCTATTTCAAGGTTCTTTGTCTTCTGGGGTAACGGTGATACTACTGATGGAGGGCATGCGCGTAGTATCTCGTAAATCGCTTGTCTCTTGAAAAGTGAGAACCGGTTACGAATTCGTGGAGTCGCCCTGTAGCATTTGCTTGCAATTGAGTAACAGTCAATGAATGAAAGTCCAGGGGACAAGTTCAAGGCGAAGTTGGATATTCAGTTTTGTAAACAAGATACATATGAGAGTTTTGATCCCCTGTCCAATGGTCTGCAACTGTTCATTTGGCATATTCTAGTAGATAACACCGTAGCGAAGGCCTTCTTCTCCTCACTAGTAGTCATGGATGAATCATCTGGTTAAGCGTAAAAGTGATTAGTCCAGGTGATTTTGAAACTCGGCCATCAGTTGAGTCACCGGTGTGAATTTATCCCAAAGTAAGTCCTGCTTTTAACATCCCTAATGGTGGCTTCGCGGTATTTTGTCTGAGCAACTGTTTTCGTATGCAGCACAACCTTCCTTGTGAAATTGATAATCACTATCGTCATTTTATTCATTAAGTTCCTCATTTTTCCCCTCTTCAATGTGATCATTGATCAGACATGGTTCATCGCCGAACGTCTCTATTCGTAAATCTTTCTGGATAGAGAAGAGTAAGGCTCCCAGGAGGGGGGTTGTCCAGTGATAACATGCTGCAAGTACTTCAAGGTGCTTAATTCTAGGACGCTCAGTTGGACAGTCTGGATAGAAGCTGACAAAAACAGAGTCACTCCAGTGTCTTTTCTCAAGCACTGATAGTATTACACATGATCTATCCTGGTAATCAAGTCACACCGAAACTGATACTCGAGGCCAAGGATCAACTACCCTTCTGCCTGTATCACTCTGAATAAATCAATCGGTGATTTCGCTTGCGGCACACATACACAACACTTTTGATATTGGACATATTCTTCAAGTCCCTTTCCTGCCATACCATTAAACACTCGTCTTCTCATTGATACAGAACCACTTGTGTTTGCCTGTTCGTCATATGTTCAATCAGTAAGTCATGCATTCCAAATGAATCCATATTAAAATATCGTTATCACGAGCAACAAGAAATCGAACAGTCTCTAGTTTTCTTTAGCTCGTTCTGTTTCATTATTACAGACTATGTTTTCAGCGGACTCTGTACAGAAACCAACAAAAAACAGGAAAGTAATTATTTTTTAGACAGATTGATGTTTTGTGGATTGTTGGCAGAGTAGGAGCTAAATGGCTTTCAATCAAACAAATACCAAACAGTGGGGTACTGACCCATTCGGTTCTACCCTGATACACTTTCCCGACAGTCGCTGCATTGGGAAGGAGTAAACCGCAAAACTTAAAGAATGGGTGACAGAAATATGCGTTTTTTTGTATGTGACCCAGTCCAAACCATTGCTTCAGTAAAACAGATGTTGAAATTGAGTAGTTGGCTTGACAGTGAACGGTTCCTTGCAGAACCTATGGTGTAACTGGATTAGTTGGACGCATTCCGGTACACGACACCTCTGTGTTCAATCACTGACGAATAGGACANGTTGGACGCATCCGGTACACGACACCTCTGTGTTCAATCACTGACGAATAGGACACTTGAAGCGGTAGAAAACGCGAATTAGATGTGTTCCTGCAAAGATAACCTAAAACGTGTTTGTTTCTTACTAACAAAAAATGTGTTCCAGTCAGCGGTTTAGACGCTTTGTACAGTTGACCTCAACTGCTATGCAACAGTTTCATTGCGTACTAGCAGCGTACCTCGCAGAAATAAAGTCGTATTCTGTTGTCTTTAAGGGTACTACACAGGAGGTAAAAAGGGTTATCCTTTCGCGTAATGAGTTTGCTATCTTTCAACGCTTTCTAAATGTCGACTGATTCAGTTTTTTGCAGTTCCAGAATTTCGCTTTCGAACTGCTGCTTGTGGCTCATTGAAATCTACAAACGTACCTTTCTTTTCCCATTCGACTGCCAAGAATTTCGCCCATTGGATCCGGCTTTCTCATTGGTTTCTGATGGTTGAACATGTGTCTTTGTGTAAGGGGCATCAACGGCGTCCGAAGGTCGTTCTTCAGCAAACTGTGCCGCTGGTCCAAAAGACGGTTCCGGACAGGGAGCTAGAGTTTCGTGGACGGACTGAAGCCATTGTGAAGGGCTGATTTGGATGGATGCACGGTGAGTCACCGGAGACTTCGCTGGATCCGGGGTGCCCTTATTGCGCTCTTCGGTAAATTCGGCCAAACTGATAGGAAATACAAAAGGACATTCAGGCGGTTCTGTTGGTCTCTTTGGTCTTGGGATGGGACCAACACTGTGGCTTCGACTCGGAACGCCGAATGGTCGAGCCATCCTAGTTGGTAGTTGGTTATTTCGCAGATTCACGTTTGCTGGTCTGGAAAATGTCGTCGGACGCGGTTGTTGAGTTTCGGTACTCTGAAAGGGAAATTTGTCGTAATAAATTAGTGTGTTTGTCAGAGGCGAGGTTAAGTTAAGATATTCCGCTTAACGTTTTCATTCACATAAATCAGCTTATCACTCAAAGCTTTCTACACCGACAGGTAAGTTTACGGAAGTATACCAGAGACTGAATGTTTGGCGCAAAGGAGGCAATTCTGTCAAGATTCTGTTTGATTTAATGTCCCAGCGCAATCCAACCAGTCACTCAAAAGTTGTTTCTCATCTGTGTGACTCCGTTCCAAAAGCGCAGTCACTGAACCAAACAAACAGCAATATGCCTGCCTGTTGCAAGTATCCGGGCCATGCGGTTGACTCAGTCCATACATATCAGAATGGATGCTCCATAATGTAATAAGTAGTATCATCAGATATCTTCAGTTACACCGAACCATCACGATGGCGCAAAATGGCTGTGTGCGGTTCTCCTTTAATACCAACATACCACTTTATGAATTATCTACGACAACTGAGGAATCGAAGGGCTAGTGAGGTGATCACACTGCTCATCAGCTTGTCGCGGCTGAATGGTTACGTGTTTATGCCACTAACCGGGAGGCCGCAGGTTCGAAACTCAGGGTTTTTGTGAGTATCCACCACGCTGTACGTGCACGCCTGGTGAACAGTGTACGCACGAGCCTTCAGACACTGTAAGTACACTAAACTCATGCGTCCCGTTGAAACTGTCGTCAAGCGAATAGCATGGAGGAGTGAGAACCGTTTTTGTATGGACAAGTTACACTGAACTAAGCTCACGATAGGTGATGTGCAAGTGTATCCATCTGAACCTACGGGACCCGGTGTGAACCCGATATCATAAAACTGGAGCGTGAATAGGAGGCGGAAGTTCCAAGGTCATCGCCATTCCCAACTGGCGGCTATTAATTGTGAATTTAAGCGGGTACGATTGACTGGTTGAGCCCTACACTGCGCGCACAGGATCGTCTGGTGGTACACAGCGCATACGGGACGCCCCATAGGCATACACTTGTCCAAACACTGCAGAAAATTAGTCAGCTTGATCTAGACAAAGATTTTCAGAGTGATAGCTTAGGTCTGACGCCCCAAAATATCCAAATCATTAAGACGAGGTCCTATTGATGGACAGCTAGAATAGACTGGAGGTCACATCACTAATAAGTAGGATCAAGGATGCACCCACATGGGGTTTTGTAGTTGGCCATGATTTGAGTTGATTGCATCCACATGATGGTGATCATCACAAATCACATCTGGTGCCATCGCCTAGCATGTCTGGTATCGCCTCGCGAGTTTTCAGTTTTTTAACCCTAAACAGGCAGCCAATCAAAAGAATTAAAACGGAAGAAATAAGCCAATACGATACAAGAATAACCCTTACCCGGGTAAATCAACAACTTATTTACAAGAAAATGGTGCGCGTCTCTCAAAGGACAGTCAATTAAAATCCTCCGCCGTCCTGTTAGTTAAGTAGATTAAATGAATCTTCCGCCTGATTTGTCTTTCGTGGAACCAGTGAACATCGGATTATGTAATGTGAGCTATGTCGTTGAAAGAAATCTAATTAGCTAGACGAATTGCCACTCTCTTTGTCTCGCTTGCTACTAAATGAACTTTAACCATCAAAATTCGTGTCTTACACTGGAATTGATGTACCAGATGCAAACACTTCAGTATTGATTTCGGTCATCAATCACTTCAGTGCTCTTATTTAATGCAGAATCTTCTGCTTGGTCGGAAATATCTTCCCATACTAGCGACAGTAAAGACTTCATTGAGTGGTCTGGGGTGTCAAGCAGTATACAGAAAGACTCATCTGATGTGAGGACAACTACATTTTTCTCATTCATGCTAGAAACGGGAATTGGTATTGATTTTTCAGGGTAAAAGAATGTGCTGAAATCCACTCGCAGGCACGTTCAAATGAAAATCAACACTATAGAGTCAGGAGCAGTGACTGGCAACTGTATGCGTGACTGAAAGTTCATACCAACATCAACTCCTTCTGCCCACTGACGTGGGTTGCGGTATGTAGCGGTAATTCGGATCAAACAGGCTGACAGGAACAAAAACCGAACAAAATTTTGTCTGGCATAACGGCGGTCCTCTCAGGAGTTGAGGAACTTGTAGCCAACTGCATTTATTCTATACGTATATATCAGAATTCGAGATGTCACGAATGTCGCAGGACGGAATACAACCAAGGTGTGAAATCAGGTCATTTTAAGTACCATGATGTCTACCAGACGAAACGATTGTGAATTCCATCCGGTTATACCAATGAATTCTTATCTGATGCTGGTAGTGGTGAACCATTTTTGCGACAGTTCGCACCTTCCTCTTGTTCACAGGAACCTCATTTCCTGTCAGTAGCAATAGAGGTTATCGTTTCCGGCTTAACATCCCGATGGCAAATGTGAGTGCACTGTTACCAAGACAAGCCATATTGGAATTGAACTCACTATAGTTCACTCACCTGAATATCCACTAACAGACTGAACCCCAGGACTTTATTCTAAAATACGGTGAAGCCAGGAGTGACCTGGGAATTATACTGGATAGGATATAGGGAAATTAGGAATCCTTTTTCTCGGACGACGTTAGTTTTCACACGGTCATTGTAAGCTTAAAGCATCTGTCCTTCCGAGGGGTTAACAAAACCAGTCGGGTCAATGACACCAGGAACACCTGTGAAGAACTAACGGCAACCCATCATGCAATTGTAGTTATTGATCCAAGCCCCTTTTGTAGAATTATACAAAGATTACACATTTCCCCGCTTTTTTCCGTATCCATTGTGCTTTCAAAAATTCGAACCCATTCGGAAACGCTTGTGTATCAAACATTGAATAGAAACTGACTACTGATAAAGGATTTATTATTGCAAAAAATTCGTATCCCTTGATTCTTGTCAGAATGCACATGTAGTTGATGCCAGTGACGGAACGACAGCTAACTGTCAACAAAAAGCCCGTGTACATAAGGCTGCGTCTCGAGAGTGACAGTGCTCCGGAGTACATAGGAAATCAGACGAAACAGTCGCCCTGAACGATGTCTAATGTCGATGGGCTATGGTCTTCTTTTTACAGCTTACCGGTGTTCATTGGGTACCTCAAATCTAATCCAATTTCTTCGTGTGATAAGTAAACGTCTACTCATTTATTTGCTTGCTCTGCGCAAAATATCTCGGTTGCACAACTGGACATTTGCCACAAAGGATCAGTGGGCATTGTCCAATCTTCGGATTGGAGATTAAGTGGTCCGGTAATCCTGGGCGATTTGATGGATACAGACTTCCAGGCTAACCGAATTAATAGATCATCATTTAACAGGCCCCAACCAATCGGACTGCCGAGTCTAATTGTCTGCTCAGAAGCAGCTGACCTAATTAACCCGACTGAAGTGACAATTGACTGACCAACAGATAACAAACACTACCCCTATCAATTGAATGGTATTAACTCCTTTAGCTATCCGACCACCAATTCTACATCCACACCTCGTGCTCTTTTGTCCTTGTTGAACTGTTTAAATTTGCAAATGTGAAGGCCATTTGAAGAAGAAAACGGTGAATCGGCTGATAACTTTTGGGGTCTTGAATTACTAAATAAGTCATGGATATCGAGACAACGAATCAATTAATATGACTTTATCATCTCCAGGTGTTACCCTGGATCTGCCATGAAAACCTGGAGTGGCTATAGGTCACACGCAGGCAGCATCAACCCCATTATTTTTTCAAATTACCTATTTCTCTCATAGAAGACGGTTTCCGTACAGAAAATAAGCTAAGGCAATCAAGAAATAACACTTACGCCATCACCGAGTTGCAGGTTCAGAACAGTTCTGTGGCGCTGCGACTGGCTGGTGGGACCATTGGACTTTGTCCCTGAAAAAAAGTTGGTAGAAATTTCATTCCATCGTACTTTGCCCATAAGCACGGAGTTATTCCAAATTGGTATTGGTAAATTACACGGACTTTTTCCGAAAATAGCCACCTAATGCACAAAACGTGTTAAGTTCTTCACACGAACTGAATGTTTCCTGATTTTGTGGGATCGAACCAAATAATTTTCAACGAGGCACTAGTAAACCCCATAGGAAAGTTTTCTCTCGGTAGCTAATAAAACAGACTAAACTTGATAACATTCGGCCTTTTGAAAAAAAATCATCGTGATTTTGAAAAAAAATAGCAAAGGATGACATTCTTGTTTGGGATTAGTCAGGCAACAAGCTTCTGGCTTGGTTCATTTCTTGACGTACTATTGTGGAGTCGTGGATTCCGTATCCATTAATTCGAAATCGTATTTGTAGCTATGCCATATTCATTCCTGTATGCCTCCTCAAGTCAGCAGTTTAATGCTGGATGTAGACGTCAACATACCACGAAAGAGCTGTGCGTCATAAGCAACTTCCTATTTCTATGACCTGCTTATTGCGCAAGAGAAGCCTCAGTGGACAACAGCAACTTCGTGCTGGTGATGTTTCTTTGCATAGTGCCGAAACATTTGCGAATTCAGCGAATAGATCAAAAGCCACCTGATCAACAGCCAAGAAACTGCCATCTTGAGCGGATGAGATCCTGAATAACAAGCGGGCAATTGAAAAGCCTTTAGCCCCAGCGCCCAGTAGACTGTTTTAAAAATGAGTGACATTGGGAGGAGGTACTTTGGAAAAAATCCCGGGACAACGGGGAACTAGTACGTCAAAGTACCAGTAGTGACCAAATCGGGTTCATAGTTTTGACCATTCTTGAATATGCAATAAGCTGTTCATCAGAAACTCGCTTGGTAACTACTGGGCGCTTACACTGTCATCCAGAAAGCCTTTGAGATTGACTGTTTGAAAATTTCCCTGAAGATCTGCCAGGAATTTGAACATTTTCATGACAAATAAGAGATGTTTAATATTGCTTTTGAGAGGCTGTTTGCCGGGTAAGTCCATAAGCGTCTGATTTGATTTTTGGCAATGTTTTTGTACTTATTATT